TCAGTATCCTCTGAATAGGTGTTCATTTTTTTTAACTTGAAGGTTATCAAATTTTCTCAATCTATTTTTCTACATGTATTTGCTTCATGCTCCGTGGTTTTGTGTCTCATTGTTCCCCGAGATTTTGTAACACGTGTCAAACGCAGATGTTAAAATTTAGAGATGTTTGTCGGAGTTGTTGATGACTTTTGTGGGATTTGTTGTCAGTTCGTCAGGTCGTGCCCTGTCGGTCAGCCCTGGGTTTGCTGTCCTGTCCTTGAACAAAAAATTGGACAACAAAATTGCCACTGTCCCCTTGTGAAAGTGGAGTTCTAGACAAAGCTTCCATTTTTTTGTCAGCTGTTGATGTGTTTATGGCAGATATTTTCTTTCGTAAATCCCAATCAAGGGAAGTCGTCAAAATATGTTCACTGGTAGTTAAGTGTTAGAGATGTCAAGCTTCAGTTATCTGTAAATCTATATCTCTCTGATAACAATTTTGGTGCGAAACTTTGGTTTTCACGATCAATAATTCCTCCGTAAACAGATTTGTGCTGCTATTCGGATATTTCACAAACCTGCCTGTTTGATTTGTGTTTAACCCAACAATCTGTTCGATTCATTTTGGCCAAACTTTTTTTTTTTTATTAAGCCAAGTATTTCTACACCTGCGTTCCAGATTAAGCGAGGACCTTTTCTACCAGATTTTATAAGATTTTTATCGGGCGAGTGAACTCGCGCACATGCCATGCATGAATGCAGTTACTGCTATGAATATACACGTTTGGTAGACATCGCTGAGGTTTTCCTTTACCAAAAGCAATTTCAAATCAGTCTGTTGACTTCAGCTTTTAAAGGAAATTATACGAGGACTAAAGTTGATGAGGATTAGACCCATTTTTTTCCCCAACGATTTCTGCCATGGTCGGTTTCTTTCTCTATTGAAATATGAATATTCGCTCGATTTACCAGCAAAGGTATACAGCGGTGAACGAGAATACAGATTGTATCTTTGCTTTTTTTGCAGATTTGTTCTTTCCTTTTTATGAAAAACTCGGCGGTGGCCCATGTTGTAAGGCTATCAAACGTGCCGATCTTCAGTATCCTAGCCATGCTTAAAAGAACTTGCCGCCTTTGAATATTAGTGGTTTCACCGACATAGCGGCGTTTGAGAATACAAGCACTGCTGTCGCTTAATTCGACATAATCGGCACCGAGTCCGAAATTGTATTTAATGGCGTGTCTGCATTGCTACTTGTATTTCAAGTTAGATTTTCATAGAGTATTTCCCCATAAACCGTTCGTAAATACACAGTGTGTCTATCTAACGAACCCTAAATATTCTGTAAAATCTGTCATTTTGTTTGTGCTCTGTTATTTTTTGGTGCGGAAGACTGATCGTACACCAATGTTCTTGTTTTCTGTTAACCTTTTTTTGGGGGGGGGTTTAGTGCGACGACGTTTGATTTTTCCATAATGCTAACATAGTTTAACCGTTTTGTTTGCACGAAAATTTGTTGGAATTCCATGGAAAACGGAGTGGCAAAGTTAACTACAAAACCATCATCGCTTCACGTCAAACGTCTCTCGGTATACGTTCGTCCGTCTTGAAGAAAAAAAGTCCACTGTGTCAAACTTACATTTCTTACGATATATGTTTTCTTTCTTACACCTATTTTCAAATCCATTATGACTTCCAATGCGTAGGTTTAATTGTTCAGTACTGTCCTGTGTTTCAGAGTTCTTGGAACACACATTAGTTTCATATCTGAAACGCAAACCCCGTGCTATACAGCCGTTACACATTGTTCTGTTTTGTCAACCGGCAACCGTATGGGAAACGCTCAGTCGTCAAAGTCTGACCTTTATTCCTGTCGATCATGTCAGGATAAACCCATACCATGTTCCCTGCCAGGCAGCATTCATGTTCCTAATCATTTACCTCCACTCCTCCAGCCGGTTTTCCTGACACAATCTGCCAAAGGAATCAAAGTATCTTCCTCTGTGGTAATCTGGAACGTGTATTGCGAGTTAAAACGTAATCTCAGACGGAAAACCCTTCAATTTGTTTTTGGATGTAAGACTATTGTTAGTCTTGTACATGTACATGTAGTTGGTTTGTGTTTTGCAAGCATGCCGTCGGGTTCCCTGACTTCTGTCATTGGCTTTTATAACCGAGTCGGCTCATAATTGAAATGAGGATTGCGCATCGGTTACACGTTGATCTCATTTTAGTCGGGCCCCTGTTCTATGAAGCGATCTGACACATGTGCTTGCTCCATCAACAATGTTCTCGTGCCATATAAACAAATCAATCAAAACTGGAATAGGGATACCAGTGTTCAGGAAAGAATGTGATCACATTATAAAATACAACATTCCGCCCAATATCCCGGTTGTGGTTACCTAGGAAACGGGTGATTTGAGGTATGATGAATGACCCAAGTTATATCTGTCTGCAGCGCGATGTTTGTGCGTCAGGCTTGGGCACAGAATAATAAAAAACAAATTTTCGAAATACCAAAGCAGTAAATTATCTCCCACTCGCACAAGGCGTCGCAAAGATAATTAAAATTTCCCCAGTTGTCTTAAAATACATGCTGTCAACTTCGCTGCTCATATTTCAAATACGAATGTGTTTCATATCCTTAATTTTCAAAACTATAGCCATGAATTATCGAGGGAAAATACAATCTTCCTTTAGAAACCAAATGAGATATAAACCGCTTGACGTTGTCAGATGTTTTATTTGTAACATCAATTATGATGAAATGGCAACAAAATTTTAGCTTAATCTGTGATTGTCAAATAAATTTCCGTCAAAATTCTTCAGGACTTCTGTTAAAATTGTACGTATCTACTTTCAAGTATAAGCACAGTGGTATGGGGTTTTTGTGTGTGTTTTATTCGTACTGCATTTTGAGTGCAACCTGCATCAATCAGATATTTACCACACGAACCCTCCCCTATGTGCAGAAATGCACATCTTCTCATTAGCCCCAATAACTGCAGAGCTAGCTCCAACGGCGAAGTATCCAAGTTTATTAGCGTCAAGCAAAGTGCTTAATGGCTAGCGATCAATTGATGAAGCCGTTGGTGGAACGAGAACCGATAGGTTTCGGGGTCCGGGGATGGATTGTGACGGGGGCGGGCACTGCTCTCATCTCGTGCTGGGCGTCCGGGACAGTGGAGGGTTGGCGGCGCGTGGTGTGTGGCGTATACGCTGGGTCCATGAACATACACGTACTTACAACTAACTGGACACAACTGGTCATACATGTATCACTCAAGTCATTCACGATACATGTTATGAATATATTAGAATACGTGACAATGAATGTTTTACTAACAAGAATGACATGTATAACCTCGTGAAAAATATGACTCAAGTTTATCAGTGTTTAGGTACATGTTCAAATCATGTATAACGAAAGCAACCCTATATTGCAGTAGGCATCTGTGAACAAAACACATAATGGTGACATGTTATTGTGTTTTTAAATGAAATTTATTTTGTCTTTGATGTAAAACCCCCAAATTGGGCATTGCAGTTTAAATTAAGTACACAACTGGTATGATTGTTTCCATGCAAGTTGGTTGATCCACTTAAAAGGTCAAAATATAATTGTCTAGTTAAATACGTTTGTGTAGTGATGGTATATCTTGACTCATATAGCTTTACATATGAAGAAAACGTGCCTATGATGCTTCAGGTAAACTCGGGTTTTTTTTCTGTTCTCCCTCTGAATGGTCAAATTGTGTTGATGCAAAGTTGTCGGTCGCGTCACTGGTCGTCACAGAAGTACATGTATATTAATTATCCCACGACACGTCTGACCTGCTTGCAACGCCTGACCTCCTCTCTACAATGCAGTGCAATTTACATGCCCCAGATCGTTCAAACCATAAACATCAAAATTTTAGTAGCTGAAAATCTAATCAATCAGAAAAAAAAAACTTACAACAGATTTGTAATTTCAGAAAACAGAATTCCCCTTGTGATTGTATACATAAAATAACAAAGCTGGTGTGGAGTTTCAATCCGAAAGTGGAAAGAATGCATTAAGTCTTCCTGAAAACACCCCAAGCAAGGCCTAATCCGGATCACAAAACACCAACGACAGTCCGGCACGAGGGTCGATTAACTCCCCGTAACCCACCCGGGACAAACCCCCTTGTTGTGGCGGTGAGTCCGCCGTCTCGCGCGCCCACACAAACACTGGAGTCAGGCGAGCGCGTAAATGGTCCCTCGTTATTGATATCATGAACCACACAGAGCTGGTCGTATAGACCATCGCTATGTCATCTCTCTACTCGTATCTTTGCAAAGAGAAAGTAGGGCTTAGAAATGAAAACCTCCGTGAAATTGTGTATCTATCAACCCATGTGATGGTTAGATCTGTTGCTCTCCTTTTCTGGCTTGGGAATGTCTGGGCTTGACAATTGTCCATGCAGTTTCACCCAGTTGTGTAACGATGAGTAATCGCGTGGAAGAATCGTACCCTGGATTTGGACCGCAACCCTTGGGTGTGCATGGTGGACGGAGGGCGATGGCCCAGACTATAGGAGTAGGACATTGTCATACCCAACTCCATTTCGTTTTGTGCTTGCAGGCTACTTCCAGTCTTTCAAAGTCAATTTTGTGTATCACTACTTGAATAGGTTTCAGTTGATATTTGTTTCTCTGTGATGTGGGCTTTTGCAACTATGTTATGATAGGCATACATGTAGCGCACATTGGGGACTTTTATAAATTTTTACAATAAGCGAAACCGATGGAAGTGAAACTGCAAAAAAAGGGTTAACAATCACAAACAAGTTGTGTTCAAATAAATACACACTTTAGTTGTTGCTTTATCATCAACGAAGCATGGACAATAAGTCTTCACACAATGTCAATGTTTTCGTTTTAGATCAATTTGAATCACGAGAACAGTTGATGGCCAACATACTGACACGTCGATACAAGTCAGATTTTGAATACAACAAAATAAATAACACCTGGTCCACATTTGGTTTGTTTCTTGTACAATGCTGCTGAGTTTAATTTCAGAATGCCCTCTCTCGGCTCCTCTGAAAAATTCGAAAACAAAAAATATCATCACAAACCTCCAACATACAATAATAATGACCATCTTAAGCTGCTATTTATAATCATCACCACCATCGTATCCGAACACCCCAATACAACCATTTTGATTTAAACGGACAGAAATATTCATGTTCTTGAAAAGAAAAACAATATCGTCCCAAAATGCACGCAGTACTGCATTAGTGACTGTGGATATGCGTAGACGTTGCACACATCTCCCCAATACATCCATATACATCAACCGTAAAGTGAATTACTCGTAGCCCATCAATTTTCACAAGTGTCTTAAAGATGCTAAAAAAAAATCCTCCAGACGTTCAAAATATTGAGCTTTTAAAATCACAAGAAGATGGACTGAAAATAAGCTAATATGGTTTAAGCGACAATACGTTTATAAGTATACAAACACTCATTTATGAAAATGTTAACGTTATGCTCACGTCGGTTTACCTAAAGACAGTCCAAATTTCTGGAGTAAAAGTAATTGATATCCAACAGTTCACTCACTAATCCTGTATTAATCCGGATTTGTTATGATTAAGCCACATATATCCCCCATTATCATGTAACATGGGACAGCAGATTATATATAGCTAAGGGATCGGATTACGAACTGCAGCCCATCTAAATCGGGCTTGTTTTTGTAATGTCAGCAAGGATCGCATAATTGCCCAATATGGGCGTGCACGCTGTCAACGTTTATTTCTGCCAATTGGACCCAACACGCAAAAGTCAGCTGTTCTTGCCACAAAAGCCGAATTTTGTCCCCAAAAAACCTAGGGTAGAAATCTTGTACAAAAATTCTACAGGCGTATAGTGATTTTGTTTTTGAACTTTAGTATGCGATATTCGTAGACTTCCGTGAGCACGGCCTAAGCATTGCAACCAAAACTAAAACAACAGTTCTATTGTTAGTTGTGCAATCCATTTGCGAACTTCGTTAGTTAGCTCTTTAGATTACGAAGATTGGCCAGAATTGGTGTATTTTCTTTATTTGTACCGATAAAATCATCCACAAAATAATTTCAACCACACCGTTAAGAGACAATCATTGAGCCTTGATAAAAAATGCTTCCGACTTCCGGGAGAACGAATGAAGTCAAATAACCCAATTTAGCATTGTTGAAACAAGTCTGACACAATCTGTATAAAGATAATATTTAGGCTATAATAGGATCACTCGTTTGATGATTAATTTGCCTTCATTGTTCCTATCTATCTCTAACAAAACATGTTCAATATCTGATATTTTCGGTTGTACATCATGGAGCTAAAGAATAGCTCCATGGTACCATGCACTCCCTTGTAGAGTTGATTTAAAGGCCTACATGACCACTGACGGTTTGAGTTCACGCATTTGTGGGTTTTTGGGGGCCAAAAAAATGGGAAAATTCGGAGGCAGCCATCATAATGTCTATGCGAGGTATAGTATGCCCATCTCACAATCCCACGGAGGTGCACCCGTATCGAATGGTGTGGTTATATAGTTAGGGTTACCACCGTTTTGGTTTGTAGGGAATTAGGTTGAAGACCGAAACATTGTGACACCGAGTGGGCGTGTATGACTTGACACGATGAGGCAACTGTTGGCGCACCAGTCATGCCTAATGGAATGGTCAGACTAACAGTAACATTCTCCCGTGTCGTGGTTTTTGGAACATTTGTCATGACGTCTTGCTTGTGACACTGTTAATCATGTTTCTCATCACTTAAATGCGACTGCTTTTCAAGTTAAAACCAACCCCGAATGTAGAACGCGCATTAACAAAGACATCGCATTTTTGAAATCCATTACTAACTGGCAATACAGATTGTTTTGAAATCACAGTTTTCAAAACATGTTTGGCTCATGTTTATTGAAGTTCGAATTGACAGTAAAAACTTCTCTCAATACTGAAGTAATTTTCTGGTGTTTACAAATTGCATGACATGCCTTGTGAAACACATACGAGTTACAACGATTGAAAATCTATAACAGTAACATCTCAATAGACATTATAGACTAAAAATCTGTTCCACAGTCATTGGGAGTACGCCTATGGACCTCAGCCACAAATTATGCAAAGTGCGATGTTGTGACCTTGTCGTTGTACATATCAAGGTCAAGGTCGAGACAAGGGATAACACATGCCGCGCACCAATGCCGTCTGATAGTACACTTGGTATCATTCTAACTTGATCTGATTTTGTGCTATCCTGGATAATGGTTTCCGATGATTCAGAATCAGGACAAGACAACCCTGCAAATGATGGTTAAACCCAGGGAATACATTCAGTCATTTCGGGTACCAAAATTGTCGTCTTCTTTTTTTTTCTTGCCATAATCAAGTTATCAAGTTTAATATCCCTTTTCGTTTCAGCTACTGCACTAACTTGTGTTTAGCAAACACAGTGTTCATTTCGAGTCAACCCGAGTTTTTTTCAAGTTATTGAAAAAAATCACGCAATTTAGACATTTTGAATTTGATACATAAATGTACTGCATCACATTCAGTAGACCCCCCCCCCCTAATATCACTCGAAATTTCTAGAGTAAAGATGTTTATAAGTACACGGGGTAGGCCTATATACCAGTCAGAAATGTTCAAAGGACGGACTCTTTTATTTTTGTTTTCAAAAATTTTAATTGGATTTCGCATTTTGACATTTGTGACTTTTAACTTGGATCCTTACTAAGTAAAGTAACTTACATTCTATATTTCTTTCATACCAATTCAATGAAAGGCAGATAGTTTGCGAAGAGCATTGTCAAGCATGACTATCACTACAGTCAACAATTTGCACAAACAACATCAGTTGGGGAAAGTACGGTTCAGTACTTCAGTTTAAAAAAAAAGGGGGAATATTGCATTTTGCGGAGTTTTCTGAACAAATTTACAACTTCTGTGAATGATCGGTTATGCCAGACATTAAGCATCATTAAGCAGGTCTCCCACAGAATATGAATTGAAGGCTGCATCTACGACACGTACTAATTTATTGTATCTGAAATTTAATGTACTCACAGACAGCATATCCACGGGAAATATTCTTATGACATCTGATTCATTGTTAAAATTCCGCTCCATTTACGTCCCAAATTACGCTTCACAATTATATATAGAATCTAGTTTACATCATCAGAATGTTCCGAAATCCTCTACGTCCGATATCCACAGTTTTGAAAAGTACGCTTCGACTGCGAGTAACCGAAACTCGGTCAGTTCAGTTCGCGTGTGGCAATGTTCACCGCGTCTCCGCCCTCACAGCTGCCGTCTAACGCGTCGCTGCTCCCGTTGGCACTCGCTTTTGCGTCCGGTCAACATTACTCGTTCTTCGGTAGCGGTGTTGTCTTGTTTTTGAGTTTACGCATATCCGTGCTGTTCTTCCCGTTCACGGGTTTGACATGGAATTGACGGTCATAGTTTCTCAAGACTCCGTGGGTTGGTCAGAATCTCCCGGGCTATTCTCCAGGCCTGCTTGGCAGCCGTGTCCAGCGAAGTATGCGGTTTGCTGCTGAAGAGATCAAGTCCGTGCAGAAAGTAATGGGGACATCTGCGATTCTGTAGACACGAAATGAGCTGCAAGAGTATACCGTTAATACGATCGCCTAAGCACATCTCATCCCAGTCAATCTCACGCGGATGTTTCTCACACTCGTACAGGAGCAACGTCTTGAGATGATAGTTCTTGACCGGCTGTCCCGTACTCTCCAGGTGCTTATCTCGGAGTGTTTTCAAGATGCTGAGGCATTTTCTTCTGACGCCCCCTTGGAGGAGTTTGTTCTCGGCGTCTGTGAAGGACAAGACCCATGCATCCCCCTCGGCTGAGGACTGTTTACCAGCTTGGGATGGACTCTCTTTGGACAGGAGATTGAATCCTTCGGTCTTGACCTCCGCAATCAGGCCAGGTACGGGCCAGGGGATATGAGGCAGCGGCCAGTGTGCCGCGCTACGCGGCCAGATACCGCTACACTTGAACGCCGGTGTGATGAGCACGATGAACCGCTCTCGTATCCGTAGCTTCACCTCGGTGGTATCCGGGATCATCTTGACAATATCCCGGTACTTACACTTGTCCACAGCCTGGGCCACTAAGGTCTGGAACCGGGAGCGAATCTTCCTGGCCGAGAGGTAGCCAGAAGCTGTGATGAACTCAACCCAGAGGGACATAGATCGTTTACGGCCATCGCTCAGCTTCAATACAGCACAGCCGGGCACTGTGCCGTCATCCACAAAGTTAAACACTCCCATTTGGTTCAGGAACAACACCACCTCAAACTCATTAGGTGAGATGACTTCCAGGCCTTCAAATCTCCCTGTCTCTGTCTCCACCAAGGAGCTGATGAACCGCGGTTCCTGGACCTCAACTTCCTTGAGGACATCGGTGACGATCTTACACACCTCGCGGATGGTTTTGGAGATGTTGGCCTTCCGTGCGGCCACTCTCTCGTTGACATACCGATTCAGCTGGTAGAACAGTTTGGATTGTGCCGTCAACATGGTGATGGCTGGTCGGTGAGGCAACTCACCCCGTGCTTTGAACCAAAGAAGCTGTCTGCACAAGGGAAGCCGATCGTGTTATGGCATGCACCGCAAGGTGCTTGCTAGTCCTCAAGCCAAAACCCAAGTCCAAAAACCAAACTTGTCAAACCGATCCAACAAGAGGAGTTTGATGTTACAAGTCTTATCAGTCGAGCATTAAGACAGATGTGATCTCTGCGGTCAATTTTTATTTCTATTTATCACTCATTAGATCGGTCACAATATCAGGCCGACGACACTGCATGGACGACAGGCGTGGACAGCGTCTCGGCGTAGACTATAGGAAGCAACGGCTGTGTTTATGTTTTTAAAGTCACGGTATCACCGCAGAGTGTTCATGTCATCGCAATTGCAGTAAAGCATGACCGTCACGTTGGGTCGCCAATACTGTCATCAACGCATTGAGTGTAGTACGTACGTGCGTGTACGTGTGTCTGTATTCGGTGGTGTGCAGCCACGGTGCTTGCCAATGCGGTATGTATAGGGTGTAAGTGAATAGGCCGCAGTCAACCAATGACGTGCCTCGCTGTTGCGAACGTGCCAGCTCGGATCAGCCTCACTTTGCATATTAGCAGGGCCAGCAATAGCCGCGTACCGCCCACTAAAGTGGTCTGTACTTTACAAAAACTCTAGCCTCTCTCTTGATGTTCGTGTCATCATTGGCCTGACCGTACCAGCGGGCCTAGCTACCGTAGTCCAGCCGAGGAAACATGCCCCATCCCCCCAAACGTCCGCCCTACGGCTGTTAAGGACCCTTCGACCAATTTATCTCATTGACATAAACATCCCCGGTCTTGCTTAATGCCAAGTTAAGAGCAAGCTCACTTAACTCTAAATCCCGCGATCAGCGTTGAAATACAAAGTGGGCTTTTATGGTTCAAGCAACTTGGGTTGTTTGTAAGCTCTAGTATTGGCAGGCTATTTTGTAAGAGAGTTTAAGTCTCCGCGAAGGTTGTCCACATCGTTAACTTTAACACAAATATTTTGTTACAGTTCAGTTTGATGCAACACCTAATGAATGAGGACTCTGTTTTTTTGCTCTGAATTTGTTTGGCTCAAAATGAGCCGGTATCCGCATAAAGTGAGCCCAAAAGACCAGTAGCTGCAGTGTACACTTAGGAAATACGCAGCCTCGTCAATAGAGGGCGCCTTCCGGATTAACATGGACCATCTTTCCAGCATATGATGATTTAGGATTGGTGTCGAAAACATCGTGCGTGGTAGGCCACGTTGCTCAATGGCGTAAGCACAGTAATTGGGTGATGTATAGTTAACGGTTCGCTGTACCGTCCAGTATGGCATTTTGCTTCACAAAATCGTAAATTGGGCTTGACGTTTTTAAGCACTGTTTTTCACGAGTGCCAAGTTGTGATAATGTCGGCATTTCACAATTCTAAAACCCGTATTCTGACGGCCGCCATCTTGTCAAGCGTCGATCTGGTGATCTGACGTGTCTGCCTCTGATATCGATACGCCACAGCCGGCCACATTGTATCCGATCCTAGCACGTTACTCCAGGGACACCAAACTAGGCACCGCGTTTATAATACCAACCGAATTAAGCAACCCCAAGACCTACGGGCTATTTTATCAAGTTCGTAACCCCAGTCACCCATGACGTGACCTTATTCTTTCGACTGCTTTTTCTTTCTTTCCCTTGTATACCCGAAGCCCGCAGCGCTCCTAGGTTCTGCTCGCTTGCTTATACCACGACAGGCCTTGCTTCGAAGCGTGCACTGACCCCAACGGCAACCCGCTGATTCGGGTTTTTCTTCGGGGGTTACATGTTGGCAATCGCAAAGAATGGAACATATCGACCTCCTCACCTCCAACTGCTGGTCCTAATTCAGCCTAGAATGCCAACGAAATTCTCTCGAGGAATTGGTTTTTCTTCTCAATTCAAGAGGGAAGTTTTAGGGTTGGGTCTATATGGGGTTGATCTTGGTATACACACTGACGGGGTTACGTAGCACGCCCGGGATATTTGGTTGGACAGGAATCCGTTAGCGTAGCAGTCTGGAGTTCGTCAGCTGGGACCTACCCCGCCTAACCCCCGGTACCCCAGTGTTTGTCGAGTTAATAGAGTGGACATCTTTCCGGGGAGAAGCCCGAACTGGTTTTTAGCATTCCCGAGGGAGGGCTCAATCCAAACAAGGCTTTCAAAACCACGGTCGGGGTATTTTTTTTTCCCAAAGAAAAAAACCTGTTATTTGACACAACGCAGCCTCCTGGTATTATGATCGTGAATGTTACAGTATAAAGTTATTTTTTTCTTTGCCAAACTTGTTTTGAATTCCACCATGTTTGCCACTAAAGCGCAGCCGTGAAAGTATGCTACGATTTTCAAATTTCGGAGCAGATATACGCCCGAATTTTTGACCCATTTTGTTTCGTGTTTTAGCTTATAAATTCGCGTAGCCTACGTCTTTTATGTTACGTTCTTGTCAAGGTTGTTCCACTTTTAATACATAACAATCTTTGGAACTTGCTTTATTCTGATGTTGACGACTTAAATTCAGTGGTAAACTTTTCAAATAAGGCTGGTAGTTAAAATTGCACTAAATCGGTCAACGTACAAAAATATTTCGGCGTTGGAAGTGAAAATCTGTTGTTAAGTTTCAATTTGCAAGTGTTTTCTTCTCAACCAGTCGATGTTTTTGTGCTTAGGTTGGTGCAAGATGGGGCAGGTATAACTAGTTTATTCAAGCTTTCATAATTCTTCATAAGTCGGTGTCCCTGTATTATTGTTGGAGCTGGTGGGTTGTCGTCTGGGCGCTTTTTGACAAGATGAATGGCGGTCATTAGTCAACAATACTCATCGATTTCTTCTTGTGTTTGTCCACCAGTGATCCTACTTCAATTATAATGTCTGTATCATGAGTTAAAGCATGATTGGAGATTGTCCTTTTTTTTGCAAGGTTTGGTGGAATGATACTGTCATTGATGGCCGTTTAAAAACATTCCTCAGTTTGCCCATTGATAATACATGTACTTGATATGTGTGCCTAAAAACAATCGCGTCCTTCCCTCCAGTTTGGAGTGGAGACTTTCTCCATGATTATACCAAACTGATTAAAATCTGGAAGTCACCAGATATCAGAAGTAATATGATGAAACGGACGTGAAATCTCCCGAGAATGAACTTCATTGTAGTTTCTCTATTGTTTCCCCTTTAGTATGTGCCGCAATCGCTCGTCAGTTGTGGTTAATCTTTTCTTTACAACCTGACCGACTTAAAATCTGAATTTGAATGACAAGTCAAAGTCATTTTCTAGGTCAAATTGTGAAGTTAGACTTGGAGAACCTGCAGTTTCTAGCGGATTTTTGCAGATTTTTTTCTCAAATTAAAAAAAAGGATATTGGTCACTGTCACTTTTCAAAGTTAGGGGAATTATCATGAAATGGCGTCTACAATTTTCTACGAAAGGTCTGCTTTGAGGCTCGTGTTACACAAGCCTAAAATTTGCCTGTAAAAAAAATAACGGTTTGAAACTGTAGCCGGTGAAGGACGAAGCTGCTTTCACGTCTGTAAGTGTAACATTGATGGTTTTGTCAAAACATGAGAATACTCTGCAGGAGATGGTTGTCTACGATGCCCTCCTCTCCTCGACTGATGGTCATTTTGTCAAAGGCGCCCATCCATGAGGGCATCATTAACGCGATTAGCGCCGTCCCAGCGGCGCGCCCAGTCCCCGGCATCGCAGCGTGATTAGCCCGGCGACGCTGACCGTAGCTGACGGGACGGCAGACGGCCGGGAATGCGGGGCCGGGGCGCGGTGACCAGGGGGGTTGGCTGGTATTGGCGCGCGACACAATCATGGGAGTTTAATTGGTGTCTCACATTCCAGGGGACGGGTAATAGAAACCACGGCGATCAAATTGAGGGGGTGAAATATCACACGTGGGGTGGTGCGTCACATTGAGTAATCAGATGAGAGGGGCGGGGCTAGGAGCAGTTGGAAGAGGAGGCACGAGTGAGAGGAGCGTGGCCATGACACGGAAATGGATCTTGTGTTGCTCAAGTCTTGAGGAACTTGCATAAACTCTTGAGAAATCAATTTAAACAACAGTGAGTGCGAAGCAATGTGATGATGTGACAAGGTCGGCCTATACTTCGTATTTCTAAAGTCAAGTAGGTTAATGCTTGACAGTGTCAGGTAACATTTAAGAAGCAGTTTTACTCGTAGAATTATAATTGTCCATTCCCATTAGTCGTTCATGTAAGTTTGACCTGATAAGGTTAGATTTGGACCCCTAACAGTGATCGTATCAGACTACAGAGGAACTTTCTGATTGTATTTACTTCGTGATCGTCGAAGGCCTCTCTCGCATGCAGACTTAAAATAAACCTTTGCAAAAATGAAGTCAGATGAGCTAATTAAGTTTTGAAATGGCAGAGGGTGTAGACTGTTATTTTAACCCTCACAACATTTCGGTCTTTGATTGATAAGAAAATTAGCCCGGCGCAGTATCAGTGGACCTATCTAGGAGTTGTCTCGCCAGTAAAATAAACTAGCAGAGGGCTAAGACGACGAGTCGCATTAGATTGCCCATCCTTCACAAATCACCGGGAAACGAGGGGACGGGGAGCCCTCCAAACCAGCCGAGTTTCCCCGGGAGAGATCGGTATGAGGGACGGGGGGGGGGGGGTTCGGGGGCAAGACGTCGGCTTCGATTTCCGCGGTGTGTCAGGTCCGGGAGGCCGGGACGAAGAACGCCCGTCCGGGGCTGGCTGACGTGTGGACGGGGCCCCCCGATAGGGCTGTCATACCCCTCCGCCGGTGTTTCATTTCTGGTCTTTCTTTCCCCTCTCAGACCCCCACACGTCCACGCGAGTGCTACGGAAGGGCTCACACTGTACCCCACGGTTTATCTAACACGGCACAGCTTTTCTGTCGAGATCTACCTGCCGCTCTCGATAAAAGTGTCACCCCTTCAGCCATTTTGAAGATTATTGTTCAGGATTGTCTCGTCCGCTAACCATTCCGTGAGCCGCTCTGCCTTAACTATTAATGGCTTGTAGGTCGTCCCGATGCAAAATCCCCCCAGATTTCTCCCTCCAAACCCGTCGAATTACTTTGTAACTTTTGCCGTTGTTGGGCTGATGTGATAGGTGCCCACTAGGGGCTTGGACCGTGGTTAATGATGATTGAATGTCGTTCATTTCCCGGATAATTCAAACGCTCGTGATGTACAAGATAAGTCATTGAAGCTCTGTGATAAGTTCACTTTTAATATTGAGGGAGATCTTTCTTCCACAAAGTCTGAACCCGGCCAGGCCAGGTTAAAAATACACAGCAGGTAAGATTTCTGCGTGGGCCGGCAATTTGTGAATGTAGTGCCATTGCTGTGTTTTCAACTGACCAGTAGTAACTCTACAAAATAATAGATCCCCCACAAAAATAAAAGATTATAAAAACAATGTCAAAACTGTTTCTTTGTCTTGTTTTAGAATTTTTCTTA